CCACCTGGGGTGAACGTAGTCGATGGCCGCTGGCTCTTCAAGGTGAAGCGCCCTCCTGGAGAGCCGCCTGTCTTCAAGGCGCGCTATGTTGCTAGAGGCTTCAGTCAGCGCGAGGGCGTGGACTTCTTCCAGACTTTCGCTCCGACCCCGAAGATGACTACTCTTCGGGTTCTGTTACACGTAGCTGCTCAGCGTGACTACGAGCTTCACTCCCTCGACTTCTCCACTGCCTTCCTTCAGGGCAGCCTACACGAGCAGGTCTACCTGCGTCGCCCTCCGGGCTTTACTGGCACCTTCCCTCCTGGGACCCAGTGGCTCCTGCGGCGCCCCGTCTACGGCCTGCGCCAGGCTCCCCGTGAGTGGCACGACACTCTTCGTGCTACCCTTGCTGACCTGCAGTTCTTTCCGTCTTCCGCAGACCCTTCACTCTTCGTTCGTGCTGGCCAGACTCCGTTCTACATCCTTGTTTACGTCGACGACCTGGTCTTTGCCACGGCAGACAGGGACGCACTGGCCTCTGTGAAGGCAGAGCTGCTGAAGAGACACACCTGCACTGACCTTGGAGAACTGCGCCGTTACCTTGGCTTGCAGATCTCCAAGGACAGAGCTGCGCGCACCATCACCCTGACTCAGTCACACTTGGTGCGCCAGGTCCTTCAGAGGTTCAGCCTTCAGTTCTCCTCTGCACAGCCCACCCCTCTGCCTGTAGACCACAGACTCTCCGCTCCAGTACCTGAGGAGTCAGTAGAGCCCAGTGGCCCCAAGGAAGTAGCGCTCCTGACGCGGCCCAGGGACGGGGGCGGGGCCCCAGACGTCCATGTGCAGGGTCTGCAGCGGCGCGGCGGTAGGGGGAAACGAGGAGGAGTGAGGGGCACGGCGAAGCCGACCCTCGACACAAGGCGTGCAAGGTGGGGCTGGAGAGGAGGGAAATGCGGGGAGCGAACCTGGGAGACCAAGGACGAGACCGTGCTGAGACATGTGACGCAGACGCGGGAGCGCAGGGTGACCTAGGCGGTGGTGCCACAGGAGGGTCGGGTGAGTGAGGGAGCGACAGGAGCAGGCAGCAGCAACCTGGGTAGACGCAGCCACCTGAGGGGGCGCTCCAGCCGGGGGGGTCACTGGTGTCCAGAGTGAACAGGCCGGACACCGGGTCCCGGGGGAACGTGGACAGGGGGGCACCAGTGGCGGCCTCGGTACAGACAGCATACCGCTCGTGACCAGGGAACGTAGTGGTGACGCCAAGGTCCTGGAGGCAGCCGACACCAACTAGGTTCCTGGAGAACGAGGGGATATGCAGACCTGTAAGAGAACCCGAAGGAACCGCCGGACAGGGAAGGGTGGTGGAACTGCGGGCGACTACCGGACCGCCGGAGGGGTCAGCAAGAGAAACGGCAGCAGGAACAGGAAGCGGCGTCAGGGTGGTGGAGTCGCGGAAGAAACACCGAGAGGCGCCAGAGTCCAAAGTGAAGGAAAGCGAAGCCGAGGGGTCTGGCGACGGAACGACGGCGGAAGCACCAAGACTACACAAAGCAGGGGATCCTACGCCTGACGCAGCAGGGGAGGCTAAGCTAGGCACACATACACTAGGCAACAGTGAGTAATAAGCGGGAAGCACACTAGAGTCATCAGCATACATCACATGCAGAGCAGAAACAATGGCATCCATGTCCATATCAAAAATCTGAATCTGACGACTAAGCAAACTGTGCCAGTCCGGGAGGTCTGGCGACGGGCCGAAGCGCTAACGAAAGAGGTCGTCCAGGCGACGAAAACAGCGGGGAGTGGAGTGACCGAGCTTACCGCAAACGAAGCCGCGGCGAGGACCGGTCTGGATCTGGTACTGGCAACGCCCGCCGCCAGAGCCACCACGCGGCACACCACCACGCGCCCGGCCACCGCCAGCGCCGGGCCACCCTGGCGGGAGGACACTCGTCTGCCGCGTCTGCGACGGCTGCTGCGGCTGCTGCGAAGGCTGCGACTGCGGCGGCTGCTGCGGCTGCTGCACCTGCAGGGGCGGCGACTCAGCTGAACTGGGCAGGGTCCCCTCGTCCACTCCAGCACCAGGCGACCCGACCCCACCACTACCCCCGCCCGCACCCCCGCCGCCTCCTCCGCCGCGCCCAGCCTTGGGGCGGCGGCCCTTCCCCGAACGGACCTGCGCTGCAGCAGCAGTCTCAGCCACTGCGGCAGAGCCGTCGGAGAAGGTGCACTGAGCGGGGGCACAACCCTGAAAGATAGGGACCGGCACGACACCGCTCGCCTGGGCAATGGAGCGGTGACGGGTCTCTATCACAGTCAGGGTGTCTACAAAGTCAGTGAGGGTGAGGTCTGCGGGGTGAACGCTAAGAAAGCGGTCGCGGGCGACAGCAAGGCGGTCAGGGAGGCGGGTGGCAAGCAGGTAGAGGGTAGAGGTAATGGGCGGCTGGTGGGCTCTAAGCTGGGCGTCAGTGCAGGCAGCGCGCCAGGTCTCATCTATCGAGCGCAGATGGGCAGCGAGGTCAGAGACAGTGGGGAAAGATGCAAGGTCAGGAAAGAGCATCGGAAGGATCAGGCGACCCACCGAGGCAGCCGGAGGGGTGGAATAGCGCTTGATCACAGCATCTAAGTATGCCTGAGCAGTAGTGAGGGACCTAAAGCGAGGACGCTCGGATGGGGGAAGGGCGTTGCTAATGGCAAGCTGGGCAACAGCATCGCGAGAAAGCCAGACAGAGCGCGCACGGGCAGTGGCAGCAGTAGCCTCACGCTCAGTGGGTGTGGGGTCAGCGGGCAGAATAGCAGGGGGGTCTGGGCAGGGGAGCGTACCGTCAAGGTGTGCGGAAAGCGGTTCACCATCCTGCCGCTGGCCAGTGAGTTGACGGCGGAGGTCGGCAAGCCACGCCTCGAACTCTAGGGGCTGACCTTCAGCGTCGAAGCGAAGCTCCGCCGCCATCAGGAACAGTCCAGTGCAGTGCAGGGCAGTGCAGTGCGGTGCAGTGCGGTGCAGTGCGGTGCAGTGCGGTGTAGTGCGATGCAGTGCGGTACAGTGCGGTGCAGTGCGGTGCAGTGCGGTGTAGTGCGGTGTAGTGCGGTGCCAGGCAGGACAGTGTGGTGCGGGGCGGCACGGAGAAGGGCGGGGTGGGGGGGAACCGTACTAGTGAGGAGGACGGGGCCGGGGTTGGCCCGACGGGGCCGGGCGGCCGCGACGGGGCCGGGCTGGTGTGACAGGGCCGGGACGGGGCGACGGGGCCGAGCGGGCGCGACGGGGCCGGGCTGGGGCGACGGGGCCGGGCGAGTGCGGCAGGGCCGGGCCGGTGCGACGAGGCCGGGCGAGCGGGACGGCGGCCGGGCGGGTGCGACGGGGCCGGGCGGCTGTGACGGGGCCGGGCGGGGGCGACGGGGCCGGACGGCTGCGACGGGGCCAGGCTAGGGCGACGGGGCCAGGCGGCTGCGACGGGGCCGGGCGGGCGCGACGGGGCCAGGCGGCTGCGACGGGGCCGGGCGGGCGCGACGGGGCCGGGCGGCTGCGACGGCGCCGGGCGGGCGCGACGGGGCCGGGCGGCTGCGACGGCGCCGGGCGGGCGCGACGGGGCCGGGCGGCTGCGACGGGGTCGGGCAGGGTGCGACGGGGCCCAGGAGGGGCGCTACAGGGCCCAGGGAGGGCGCGACGGGGCCCAGTAGGGGCGCTACGGAGCCCAGGAGGGGCGCGACGGGGCCTGGGAGGGGCGCGACGGGGCCCGGGAGGGGCGCGACAGAGCCCAGGAGGGGCGCTACGGGGCCTGGGAGGAGCGCGACGAGGCCCAGGAGGGGCGCTAGGGGGCCTGGGAGGAGCGCGACGGGGCCTGGGAGGGGCGCGACGGGGCCTGGGAGGGGCGTTACAGGGCCCAGGAGGGGCGCTACGAAGCCCAGGAGGGGCGCGACGAGGCCCAGGAGGGGCGCTACGGGGCCCAGGAGGGGCGCGACGGGGCGCTACGGGGCCTGGGAGGAGCGCGACGGGGCCCAGGAGGGGCGCTAGGGGGTTCTGGGAGGAGCGCGACGGGGCCTGGGAGGGACGCGACGGGGCCTGGGAGGCGCGTTACAGGGCCCAGGAGGGGCGCTACGAAGCCCAGGAGGGGCGCGACGAGGCCCAGGAGGGGCGCTACGGGGCCCAGGAGGGGCGCGACGGGGCGCTACGAGGCCTGGGAGGAGCGCGACGGGGCCCAGGAGGGGCGCTAGGGGGCCTGGGAGGAGCGCGACGGGGCCTTGGAGGGGCGCGACGGGGCCTGGGAGGAGCGTTACAGGGCCCAGGAGGGGCGCTACGAATCCCAGGAGGGGCGCGACGAGGCCCAGGAGGGGCGCTACGGGGCCCAGGAGGGGCGCGACAGGGCGCTGCGGGGCCTGGGTGGAGCGCGACGGGGCCCAGGAGGGGCGCTAGGGGGCATGAGCGGAAGCGGTAGGTGGGGGGGATCCTACCTACGCGTGATACCATATCAGAATTGGAATTGTAATTGATGGTAAAGTGAGAGTACACACAAATATACCTAAGTGTTGTACCCTCTAAGAGGTAACCCTATACAGTCTATACAAACATGACAAATACAGATGTTTGACATGTCGCACCCGATGTGCGGCCTGCTGTGGCCTAATTAGCTTATGACAGAAATGCGCGAGGTCTCAATTTTGGAATTTTGTGTGCGCGAAGTCCAACGATTTTTAATTTGGGAATACTTTACGTAGTTCTCTCGAACTGCGCCCGGAGCTTGAGAAAAGTATCGCACCAGCCACAATGATGACGAAATTGGGCTGGCGCGGGCGGGAAAACGTTCCGAAACGGTCGAGGGTTACTTCTATTGACCATTCGTGGAGCTTTTTCCTGTAGTTTTTTACTAACGGTGGAACTCGACTGATGAAACATGTCGCGAACTCGCTAATTCTGATTGTTTATCTTGTGTCACTGACCGTACATGTTATTGAGGCCCCTAATACTGAGCGCCGATGTATTTTCCCTAGTATTTGGACCCGCCCTTAGTAAGCATAAACTGTTCCTAAAATTCAGCCAAAAAAAACCTAACATTATAGAAGTTGCAACGCAACGCTTATTAGTACACTCGAGGATCATGCTCGACAGATCCAGGCACGTGCTGCTATCAGCGGTATAACTCTAATATACCGCCTCTGAATTCGACCCTGCACTTGTTACAGCCAGAGCCTAAATTAGCTGCAAGATGATATCTGCCGTTACCATATGTTTCACCGATTTGTTTCGTACCCTGATTTTCTTATCACATCGCAAGGTTATGGTTGCCTCTCCAAGGGAGATTCGCCCTTGGACCACTTGGGTACATCGTACGTGGCATGCACGAATAGCGATGCTGATCAAACCATAGTGGGGGTATGATGGTAACAGGCTGGTTACCAGGCATGGCTGATGCACGCAGCAGCACCAAGACTGCACCCTTTGAACCACACACCAACTTCATGCTCTTGTGTTGCCCCAAACTGCTCCAGTCCTGAGCACCTGTCGCTGCCTGACTGGATATTCTTTCTGCTGCACCACAGCAGCATCAGGAGCAGCAGCTGTTGCTTCCTCCCCCCTTCCCTCGCCCCTGGAGCGGCAGCAGTCACTGCTCTACCGGCTTTTCTTTCTGCTGCACCACACAGCATCAGGAGCAGCAGCTGTTGCTCCCTCGCCCCTGGAGCGGCAGCTGTTGCTTCCATCCCTCCTGCAGCAGCAGCTATTGCTCCATAAATACTTCTCCAACCCCTGCTGCAGAAGCACCTGCTGCTGCAATCTCCCAGCGCCCTCTCCTCTATCTAGTGAAGCTCCTGTCTACTACAGATCCTCAGCCACTGGGCGCCATAGACACCTCTCCACCCGCTGCCGCCGCTGCCCATCCACAGTCCCTGTTAGTCGATGCCATGCTTGGCACTACTCGTTGCGACACTCGTGATTCCTGCAAGCTTTATCATATCACTGCCAAACCCTTCATGGTGGGTCTGCAGCACCTCGGATCCTCCTGCACGCACTCCTTGGCACTCCTTGGCCAGCACGTCCAGCATCCCATTGCCCCCCTCCACAGCTCTTCAGCCTCCCCTTCCCCTAGCCACTCGTTCCTCACAGCGAAGCCAGTGATTCTTGCAGGCTATACCACTAAGTCCTTCATGGTGGGTCTGCACCTCGGGTCCTCCTGCACGCACTCCGTGGTCAGCACGTCCGGCATCCGCACCACCATCCTCAGCATCTCTGGCTCGCACTTACTATTGAGATGCAAGCGATTCCTGCAGGCTGTATAGCCGAACCACCAGGTCCTTCATAGTGGGCCGACATCTGGGATCCTCCTGCACGCACTCCTTGGCCAGCACGTCCAGCATCCGCACCACCATCCTCTTGGTGGGCTCCACGCACGCGCTGCTCAGCTCGTACTCCTCTATCAGCGGTTCCGCCCAGGCTATCAGCCCGTCCGCCCCCTCCCTGTCCGCCAGCAGGGCACCCTTTTTCCCTGTGAGAAGCTCAAAGAGAACGACCCCATAATCAAACGCATCCTTCGCCATGCCCTCAGGACCTGGAGCAAAGAGAGGGAGAGAGGGGGAGAGGGGGAGAGGTGAAGAGACAAGGACAGGCAAGCGCTGCTCAGCTCGTACTCCTCTATCAACGGCTTTGCCCAGGCTATCAGCCCGTCCGCCCCCTCTCTGTCCGCCAGCAGCGCGCCCCATCTCCCCGTGAGCAAAGGCGCCCTCCACCATACCCTCGGGGCCTGTAGTGAAGGGTATTTGTCGGGGGCATGGTTGAGACTGGTAAGATAGTCACGAGTAGAGTGGGTGGTAAGGGGAATGGCGAAGTAATCGGTAAGGAGAACGACGCGTGAGTGATAAGGGAACCATGGGTGGGGGGGTGGGGGGGAAGGGGGGCCACCCTGAGAACAAAAGCGACCAGGAAAAGTTGTGAAATGCCATATTAGGTCAAGATAAGTACCTTTGAGGTTCTTGCGTGTGCTTGTCTTGGACAGCATAGTGGCTAGGCCGTAACCAGTCAGCAGTACAGTGAAATTCTGCCAGTGGGAGATAGCACAGGGACACATGAGGAAAAAAAAAAAAAAAAAAAAAAAACCAGAAAAGAATTTGGGGATGGAAATGGGAAGCAGGTAAGTTGAGCAAGCATCCATTCCCTGGGCCTTGATTCACCTTAACAGCGGGTCAGCAGCGGTCTCACCTTATCCAGCATGATGTTTCTCGACAACAGGTTGCCATGCACCACTGTGCTCGAGTGCAGGAAGGTGAGCCCCTTGGCGATACCCACTGCCACTTTCAGCCGCACCCGCAGCGGCAGGAACTCCCCTTCTGCGTCCTCTGAAGCACGGGGGATAGTGGTGGAATTGAGGAAAGGAGAGACATCAGAACGAGTAGGCGGAGCGCACGAAGGTCAGCCCCTTGGCGATGCCCAGTGAAACCTTGAGACGCACGCGTAGAGGCAGGAACTCCCCTTCTGCGTCCCATGTGGCAGGGAATATGCACAGAGAGGGGGGGGGGGGGGGGAGGGGGGAAAGGGATGAGCGGGTGAGGACATGCTAGGAAGGTGAGCAGTGACACCTTCAGGCGCAGATGTAGCAGCAGGAAATCCCCTGCTGCGTCCTCTGGTGAAATGGGGAATAGTGGTTGAATAGAAGGAAGAGGAGAGCAGGAAGGTGAGCCCCTTGGCAGTGCCCACTGCCACCTTCACCCGCACCCGCAGCAGTAGGAATTCCCCTTCTGCGTCCTCTGTTCAAAGAGGAACCGTGGGAGGAGCGGGTGAGTGAGATGAGATTAAAGAAAAGGATAGTAAGGAGTGCAAAAGGTCAGGCCCTTGGCGATCCCCACTGCCCCCTTGAGACGCACGCGCAGAGGCAGGAATCCCCTATCTGCGCTCCCTGAAGCACAGGCATGGTGGTGGATTTGAGGGCAGGGGATACAGTCAGACCGAGCAAGAGGAGCGCAAAAGGTCAGCCCCTTGGCGATGCCCTTTTGCGCTTCGGACGCAGGGCGAAGTGCAGGAAGGAGCGCAGGAAGGAGCGCAGGAAGGAGCGCAGGAAGGAGCGCAGGAAGGAGCGCAGGAAGGAGCGCAGGAAGGAGCGCAGGAAGGAGTGCAGGAACGAACGCAGGCGGAGCGCAGGACGGAGTGCAGGACTGAGTGCAGGACTGAGTGCAGGAAAGGAGCGTGCTAATGCTCGCAACAACACACCTGGGAAGAGGTAATTCTCAAGGAGTGGAGGTGAAGGAAGAGCCCCAATGGGGAACTGTGGGAGGCGAGGGTGAGATGAGGTCGGAAAGGAGTGCAGGACGGAGTGCAGGACGGAGTGCAGGACGGAAACATGCTGATGATCACAACAACATACCTGGGAAGAGGTAGTTTTCGAGGCAGGTGCAGTTGGGCGGCAGGTCATAGGCGATCTGCATGTCTTCCTTGTCCGCTGCATACCCCAGGATAGCCGCTAGATTCGTGTGCTGCAGCTTTGCCAGCGCTGCCATCTCTTTTTGCTGCCCAAGGGAGGGGAAGGGGGGGGGGGGGGGGGATGGGGAAGGGGGGTGGGGGGGGTTGGGGGTGGAAGGCAGTCACGGGGTGAGGTGGGCGACTTCCTTGTCCTCTGCATACCCCAGGATAGCCGCTAGATTCGTGTGCTGCAGCTTTGCCAGCGCTGCCATCTCTTTTTGCTGCCCAAGGGAGGGGAACGGGGTGGGGGGGGGGGGAGGGTTGTTGAGGGGGGAAGGCAGTCAAGAGGTGACATGAGCGATCTGCACGTCTTCCTTGTCAGCTGCATACCCCAGGATCGCTGCAACAGTTGTGTGCTGGAGCTTTGCCAATGCAGCCATCTCCTTTTGCTGCAGGAAGGGAAAGTGTTGGGAGCAAAGGGGGAAAGTGGGGGGGGGGGGGGGGGGGGGGGGTTCAGCAGTATGGAGATAAGCTAAGTCATTCTTTAGAATTCGAAAAAATGACTCCACCGCATGCCTTCCTCATCGGCTGTATTCTCCAGAACTAGGGCTAAGGGCTTAGAATTCAGGGTTTAGGATTCCAGGGGGGAAGCGGGATAGGATTCGTGTCTGGGGCATTCTCCAGAACAAGAGACAGCACTCACCATCTTCCCTTCCCTTCTCAGCCCATAGGTGCGCCCTCTGCTCGCTTCTGGCTGCAGCCCCGCTGGCCTAAAAAACCATGACCTTTTCCCCTGGAATCAGAGAAACAGCACTCACCATCTTGCCCTTCCTTCCCAGCCCATACATGCGCCCTCTGCTCGCCTCTGGCTGCACCGCCGCTGGCAACGAACTCCCCGAAGCGGTCTGAGAGATCATCGAGTTAGTCCTCGCGTGCACGTGTGCGTTGGCATGTGCTGCCGCTGCCCCTCCCCCTGCGGCTGCTGCCGCCCCCGGCACATCTGCGGATTTGGACTTGGGAATGCTGGACATGTAGTGGGGTAACGGGGAGGGCTGTGGGGATTGGGCGAAGTGGGAGGTGTGGTGATGCTGAGGTGGCAACTGCTGCTGCTGTTGCTGTGACTGTTGCTGGGATTGTTGCTGCTGCTGCTGCTGCTGCTGCTGCTGCTTGTCTAGCTGACTCTGACTCAATCTGTGCCTCGACGGCTGGTGCTCCTGCGAATAATACGCTGAGTTTACCGTTTTCGAGGAGGGCAGTCTCGGGGATAGCATATCAAACCCTCCCCCTCCTCCCCCTCCCCCTCCTCCCCCTCCTCCGCCTCCCCCTCCCCCTCCTCCACCCCCTCCCCCGCCGCCAAACCCATCATTCCCACCGCCATACCCGCCCATCCCCATCCCTTCCTCCTCCTCTAACAAGTCAGTAATCTCCTGCATAGAAGCGTCACTTAGACTCCTCGCAGGCGCCCGTCTCGGCCGCCAAAAGTCTTTGTTAAACACTTTCATGCCGCCGCCGCCAGCAGCCGCAGCAGAGGCGCGGGGGGAGTAGGAGGCGGGTTCGGGCGTGGAGGGCAGGAGGGGTGACATGGGGGGCGTGAGATGCTGGTTGTCGCGCCAAGAGCCCTGGCGGCCAGGCTTGGGGGGGAGGATGCGCTGCATGGAGGGGTTGCCCCGGGTATTGATGGGCGGGGGGGAGGAGACAGACGCTGCTGCAGGGGGAGAGGGGAACAGACAAGGGGAGGAGGTGGGGGGGAGAGGGGGGGGGGGGTTTGGGATAGAAGGGAGAGCAGATGTGATTGCTTGGGGGCGAGGATGCGCTGCATGGAGGGGTTGCCCCGGGTGTTGATGGGCAGGGGGGAGGAGACAGACGCTGCTGCAGGGGGAGAGGGGAACAGACAAGAGGAGGAGGTGGGGGGAGAGGGGGGGGGGGGGGGGGAGTTGGGATAGAAGGGAGAGCAGATGTGATTGCTTGGGGGCGAGGATGCGCTGCATGGAGGGGTTGCCCCGGGTGTTGATGGGCGGGGCGGAGGAGACAGACGCTGCTGCAGGGGGAGAGGGGAACAGACAAGGGGAGGAGGTGGGGGGGAGAGGGGGGGGGAGGGGTTGGGATAGAAGGGAGAGCAGATGTGATTGCTTGGGGGCGAGGATGCGCTGCATGGAGGGGTTGCCCCGGGTGTTGATTGGCGGGGGGGAGGAGACAGACGCCGCTGCAGGGGTGCGGGTTGGAGACAGGGGGGGGGGGGGGAAGGAGGAAGGGGAGGAGAACAAGAAACAATTGAGGTGATTGGGCTCGCCATGGCTTGCAATGCTGCTGAGCTACCTTCTAATGTCAAGGAATGCCAACGACTCACCTGCTGCTGCTTGCCGAATGACCTTGAGCCGTTGCATCACCTCCTGCATGCTGGGCAGTCCCTGGGCTGCCAGGCTCGCACCCAAAGCACATACATACATGCAAGCACGAACAGCACAGAACCCACCTGCCGCTGCTTGCCAAATGACCTTGAGCCGTCGCACCACATCCTGCATGCTGGGCCGGAACTTGGGCTGCCACTCCACGCACACAGCAGCCAGGCTCGCAACCTAACCCAAAGCACATGCATGCATGCATACAGCACAGCGCAGCACCCACCTGCGGCTGCTTGCCGGATGACCTTGAGTCGCCGCACCACCTCCTGCATGCTCGGCCGGTCCTTGGGCTGGTGCTGCATGCACATGGCTGCCTGCTAGGTTCTCTCAACCAACCAACTAGCTGTGCACACATATATGCATGCAGCCCAGCACAGCACCCACCTGCGGCTGCTTGCCGAATGACCTTGAGTCGCCGCACCACCTCCTGCATGCTCGGTCGGTCCTTGGGCTGCCGCTGCACACACATGGCTGCCAGGCTCGCAAACGCCTGCATGGGCTGCTGGGGGAACGCCTGGGCCAAGTTGGGGTCCACTACTGCATCGAGGTTACCCGCGCAAATAGCAGGGGTGGCCTGAAGTGGGGGGGTACGGGAGCGGACAAGGAAAGAGGCAAGAGTCCGTCTCTGGGCTGCGGCTGCACGCACATGGCTGCCAGGCTGGCGAACGCCTGCATGGGCTGCTGGGGGAACGCCTGGGCCAAGTTGGGGTCCACTACAGCATCCAGGTTACCGGCGCAAATAGCAGGGGTGGCCTGAAGTGGGGGGGTACGGGAGCGGACAAGGAAAGAGGCGAGAGTCCGTCTCTGGGCTGCGGCTGCACGCACATGGCTGCCAGGCTGGCGAATGCCTGCATGGGCTGCTGGGAAAACGCCCTGAGCTAGGTTCGGATCGACCACTGCGTCCAAGTTGCCAGCACAAATGGCAGGGGAGGCCTGGAAGGGGCAGGAGGGAGGGAGGGAGGGGGGAGAGGGACGAAGGGGAAAGAGCACATGGCTTCCGGGCTTGCAAGCGACTGCATGGGCTGCTGGGGGAACGCCTGCCGGATCCTTCAGCCGGTGGCCACTCACCCAAACTGACACTTGTTGTCCTACTACCATCCCCCATCCACTCACCTACCATCCCCCATCCACTCACCTACCATCCCCCCAACTACTCACCCATTTCGCGAGCGCCATTCTCTCCCCCGAGTCGTCCGCCTCCTTCAGCACCGGGGGCTTGGCTGTGATGAGCTCCAGCATCACCACACCGAAACTGAGGGGCAAGGGTTGGGGGGGGGGGGGCATAGGGGATAGGAGAGGTAAGGGCCTGGGCCCAGTGGGAGTGCTTTCTTGAGCATGGGGGGTTTGGCTGTGATGAGCTCCAGCATCACCACGCCGAAACTGGGAGGTTAGGGGGGGAAGGGGGGTATATCGAGAGGGGGAACGGGGGAAGGGAGAAAGGGAGGAAGAGGAGCAAGGGGGGTTGTTGAAAGTGCCTCCTTCAGCACCGGGGGCTTGGCTGTGATGAGCTCCAGCATCACCACGCCGACACTGGGAGGTTAGGGGCAACGGGAGAGGGGAGAACCAAGGAAGGTACAGGCCGAGCATTGGAGAGGGGTGAGCATTGGAGGCCTGGCTGTGACGAGCTCCAACACAAAAAACCTGTAAATGGCTCCAGCACACACCTAATCAGATGGCCAACGCTCACCTGTAGACATCGGATCGGACTAGACAGAAGCCACGCTGGTCTGGCAGTACTGCGGGTCCAGATAGCCCGGGGTGCCCACCAACCTCTCATTCGCTATAGCCCACTCCCTTTCTACCTCTCTCCTTTGTCTGGGCCTCCCTTTTCTTTCACCGAAGGACTCACCCGTACAGACCAGACGGAAACGGCGCTGGTCTGGCAGTACTGCGGGTCCAGATAGCCCGGGGAGTCTATTTTTGAGGCGCCTCAAAAATAGACTTCTTACTGCGAGTCCAGATAGCCCGGGGTGCCCGCCCCCCCCCAACCTCACCAGCACACACATCACTCCACACGGAAACGATGCTCATCTGGCAGTACTGCGGGTTCAGATAGCCCGGGGTGCCCGCCCCCCCCCAACCTCACCAGTACACACGTCACTCCACACGGAAACGACGCTCGTCTGGCAGTACTGCGGGTCCAGATAGCCAGGGGTGCCCACCACCCTCCCTATCCCGATCCTTCTCTCACCACCTCCTCCCCCTCTTCATGCCTCTCCCCTCTCCTCCTCACCTGTACACATCACTCCACACGGAAACGACACTGGTCTGGCAGTACTGCGGGTCCAGATAGCCAGGGGTGCCCACCACCCGTGTGTGCGTGGTGGCGGACTCATCGTCGCCTATCGACTTGAGGTTGCCATAGTCTCCGAGCTTAGGCTGGTGAGGGGAGAAGAGTGGGGCGTGGATGACGAGAGGGGAAGGAGAGGAGGGAGGGGATGCAAGGGAGTGAGTGTGTGTGGGTGTGTGTGTGTGAGTGGTGGCGGCAGACTCATCGTCGCCGATAGATTTGAGGTTGCCGTTGTCTCCTAGCTTCGGCTGGTTAGGGGAGGGAAAACCATAGGTTCGGGAGAAGGGGAGGGTGGAGAAGAGAGGAGGATTGTGGGTTTTGAGACGTCTCAGAACTAAATTACTGACACAGGGTGGAGAAGAGAGGAGGATTGTGGGTTTTGAGACGTCTCAGAACTAAATTACTGACACAGGGTGGTGGAGAAGAGAGGAGGATTGTGGGTTTTGAGACGTCTCAGAACTAAATTACTGACACAGGGTGGAGAAGAGAGGAGGATTGTGGGTTTTGAGACGTCTCAGAACTAAATTACTGACACAGGGTGGAGAAGAGAGGAGGATTGTGGGTTTTGAGACGTCTCAGAACTAAATTACTGACACAGGGTGGAGAAGAGAGGAGGATTGTGGGTTTTGAGACGTCTCAGAACTAAATTACTGACACAGGGTGGAGAAGAGAGGAGGATTGTGGGTTTTGAGACGTCTCAGAACTAAATTACTGACACAGGGTGGAGAAGAGAGGAGGATTGTGGGTTTTGAGACGTCTCAGAACTAAATTACTGACACAGGGTGGAGAAGAGAGGAGGATTGTGGGTTTTGAGACGTCTCAGAACTAAATTACTGACACAGGGTGGAGAAGAGAGGAGGATGGTGTGCAAGGGATGGATGGACGAATCAACATGTGCACACACATGTGGGCGTGCGCATGCACACACCCCCCCCCCCAACACACACACTCACTCACTCACTCACAACCACCCCCCCTACTTGCAGATCGCCAGCCATCCATGAACACGTTGAGGCTCTTCACATCCCGATGCACCAGCACCGGCTTGCACGAGCGCAGGTACAGGAGGGCCTCCCCATCACACACACACACACACGCCCTCACTCAGGGCTTTCACAAGGCTTCTCTCCATCTCACTGTCTCACTCACTCTCTCACTCATTCTCTCCCTCTCACAACACACTCTCACCTGCAGATCATCATCCATGAAGACATTCAAAGACTTGACGTCTCAATGCACCAACACAGGCTTGCACGAGTGCAGGTACGGGAGAGCTTCAGCCACATACTATCATACACGTATGCCAGTACAGGAAACCACCACTCACCTGCAGATCGTCGTCCATGAAGACGTTAAGGGACTTGACGTCTCGATGCACAAGCACAGGCTTGCACGAATGCAGGTACAGCAGGGCCCCTGACACTCCGTTCACACACACACTCACTTCCTCAGCCTCTCCACCCCTCTCTCCCTCACAACAAACACTCACCTGCAGATCGTCGTCCATGAAAACGTTGAGGGACTTGACGTCTCGATGCACCAGCACAGGCTTGCACGAGTGCAGGTACAGCAGGGCCTCCGCCACCCCAACAGCCGCCTCTATCCGCTGCTCAAATGAGAGAACCCCCTTCTCCGTGTCACCTGTAAGGGAGTGGGGACGAGAGTGGGGAGGGGAGTGGGAAGGGGAGTGGGGAGGTGAGTGGGGAAGGCAGCGTACGGTAGCTCAAACTTGCACAAGTGCAGGTACAGGAGAGCCTATGCCACCCCAACCGCGGCCTCTATCCGCTGCTCAAACGACGGCACCCCCTTCTCCGTGTCTCCTGCAATGCACTCAGGAGAAGGGACGGGAAGGGGAGGGGAGGGGAGAGGGCAACACAGGCTTGCACGAGCGCAGGTACAGCAGGGCCTCCGCCACCCCAACCGTTGCCTCTATCCGCTGCTCAAACGACAGCACCCCCGCCTCTGCCTCACCTGCAATGGATTCAGGATAGGGGAAGGGGAGGGGAGTGGGGGCGGGAGTGGGGATAGGGTGGGTTGTCTTGTAACGGGGACAACTGCTACCCGAGAGACCGGTTGGTTGGTCAGCACCTGCTCCTCGTCTTTACAAGCCCATGCCCGTGCTAGTTTACATTGTAGCCTGAGAGTCCCAATTGCAACATACTCGTGTACACCAGCACCTGCGCCTTGTTCTCATGGCAAAAGCCCAAGGGTGCCAGGTCACCCTTACTGGAGAGAGCGCACTTTATCTTACGAGTACAGGGCACTTTACCTTGTAGCGGGGATAGGTGTTGTCTGAGCGAGCCATTGACCACGTACTCGTACACCAGCACCGGCTCCTCGTTCTCATGACATCTACAGTAGTGCCTGACAACCTTAGAGAGAGAACTTCACCTTATAACGGGGACAGGACAACTTACCTTGTAACGGGGACAGATGTTGTCTGAGCGTGCCATTGGCCACGTACTCGTACACCAGCACCTGCTCCTCGTTCTCATGGCATGTAGACTATGGGCACATAGTCTTATAGCGAGGGATAGGTGTTTGAGTATGCTGTTGGCCACATACTCGTACACCAGCACCTGCTCCTCGTTCTCATGACATCTATAGTAGTGCCTGACAACCTTATAGGGGAGAGAGCACTTTACCTTATAACGGGGACAGGACAACTTACCTTGTAACGGGGATAGGTGTTGTCTGAGGGTGCCATTGGCCACATACTCGTACACCAACACCTGCTCCTCGTTCTCATGGCAGAAGCCCATGAGGCGGACGAGGTTCGGGTGAAGCATCTTGGAAACTGCCTCAATCTGAAGAGATGGCGCAAGGCGGGGGGGGGGGGGGGGGGGGGAGGGGGAGGAACGGTGGAAGTGTTAGGGAGGGGGTAGGGAAAGGAGCAATGAGGCATGAGGTTTCTTGGAGAAAGAGGTGCACCGCCTAAGAAAAATCTGGCATCTCAGTCCGCCCGCTTCACCGCCCACAGCTCCCCATCCGGCCCCACCCCCTTGTACACCAAACCACAATCTACCCTCATTCCGCTTTACATAGTCCCCCCCCCCCCCCCCATCAATTTCTCACCTCTCTATGATAGTCCTGAAGGCGTGTCAGCCCGACCTTCTTCCCTCGCTTCACCGCCCGCAGCTGCCCATCCGGCCCCACCCCCTTGTACACCACGGTGAAGCCCCCTTCCTTTCCTTCCCACACCACCCCCTACACCCTCCTCACCTCTCTATGGTAGTCTTGCAGCCGCGTTAGCCGCCCCTTCTTCCCCCACTTCACAGCCCACAGCTCCCCATCCGGCCCCACCCCCTTGCTCACCAAACCACAATCTACCCTCATTCCCCTTTACATGATTACCCCCCACCCCCCCTCCCCATCAATTTCTCACCTCTCTATGATAGTTCTGCAGCCATGTCAACCCACCCTTGTTCCCTCGCTTCACCGCCCACAGCTCCCCATCCGGCCCCACCCCCTTGTACACCATGGCAGAGCCCCTTTCCCTCCCTTCCCACCCCATTCCCTCCCCCCTCCTCACCTCTCTATGGTAGTCTTGAAGCCGAGTCAACCCGCCCTTCTTCCCTCGCTTCACTGCCCACAGCTCCCCATCCGGCCCCACCCCCTTGTACACCACGGCGGAGCCCCCTTCCCCAAGCTGCAGGTCGTCCGCCCAGTTATTGGTGGCGGCCACAAGGTCCTCATAGGGAATCTCATGAGCCGGCTCGGGCTCGTCCATTCCTGTAATAAGGGGGGGGGGGGGAGAATAGAAGGAGAGCAACGGCAGAGTGTTTTGCAACACCTGGAACCGGCTCCCCTTCCCCCAGCTGCAGGTCGTCCGCCCAGTTATTGGTGGCGGCCACAAGGTCCTCGTAGGGAATCTCATGAGCCGGCTCGGGCTCGTCCATTCCTGTAGTAAGGGGGGGGGGGAGAAGAGAAGGAGAGCAACGGCAGAGTGTTTTGCAACACCTGGAACCGGCTCCCCTTCCCCCAGCTGCAGGTGACTTTTGAGTCGGCGAGGTGACTTTTGAGTCGACTCAAAAGTCACCTCGGCAGAGTGTTTTGCAATACCTGGGCCCGGCTCCCCTTCCCCCAGCTGCAGGTCGTCCGGCCAGTTATTGGTGGCTGCCACAAGGTCATCATAGGGAATCTCGTGAGCCGGCGCTGGCTCGTCCATGCCTGCTTGTGTGTGGGTGAAATAGAACAGGAGGAACGCGCCTGAGATACCATTGCCCCACTTCATGATGGCAGAGTGTTTTTGAGAATTCTCAAAAACACCCATTGCCCCACTTCATGATGGCTTCTAGAAGGTCCTCGAACAAAGTCTCGTGAGCCGGCGCTGGCTCGTCCATGGGGCGAGGGTGGGGGGGGAATTGGAAGGGAATGGGAGAAAGGGGTGGGGAGGGGGGAAAGGGGGTGGGGAGGGGGGAATGGGAGAAAGGGGTGGGGAGGGGGGAAAGGGGGTGGGGAGGGGGGAAAGGGGGTGGGGAGGGGGGAAAGGGGGTGGGGAGGGGGGAAAGGGGGTAGGGAGGGGGGAAAGGGGGTGGGGAGGGGGGAAAGGGGGTGGGGAGGGGGAAAGGGGGTGGGGAGGGGGGAAAGGGGGTGGGGAGGGGGGAAAGGGGGTGGGGAGGGGGGAAAGGGGGTAGGGAGGGGGAAAGGGGGTGGGGAGGGGGGAAAGGGGGTAGGGAGGGGGGAAAGGGGGTGGGAGGGGGGAAAGGGGGTGGCGAGGGGGGAAAGGGGGTGGGGAGGGGGGAAAGGGGTAGGGAGGGGAGTATCTTGAGCCATCTCAAGGCAGCGTGTCCCACCCACCCCTATGTACACCACAGCAAAGCCCCCTTTTTGGGTAGACTCAAAAAGCGAAGTCAGCCATACCTGGCCAGCCCAAGTGCACGATGCAACCAGCCAACCATACCAGCTGGATCCAGCGACTCCAGCCTCTTGCTTTTGAGTAGACTCAAGAGCAGAGACAGAGTCAGTCACAGCTGGCCAGCCCAAGTGCAAGATGCAACCAGCCAACCATACCAGCTGGATCCAGCGACTCCAGCCTCTTGCTTTTGAGTAGACTCAAGAGCAGAGACAGAGTCAGTCACAGCTGGCCAGCCCAAGTGCACGATGCAACCAGCCAACCATACCAGCTGGATCCAGCGACTCCAGCCTCTTGCTTTTGAGTAGACTCAAGAGCAGAGACAGAGTCAGTCACAGCTGGCCAGCCCAAGTGCAAGATGCAACCAGCCAACCATACCAGCTGGATCCAGCGACTCCAGCCTCTTGCTTTTGAGTAGACTCAAGAGCAGAGACAGAGTCAGTCACAGCTGGCCAGCCCAAGTGCACGATGCAACCAGCCAACCATACCAGCTGGATCCAGCGACTCCAGCCTCTTGCTTTTGAGTAGACTCAAGAGCAGAGACAGAGTCAGTCACAGCTGGCCAGCCCAAGTGCAAGATGCAACCAGCCAACCATACCAGCTGGATCCAGCGACTCCAGCCTCTTGCTTTTGAGTAGACTCAAGAGCAGAGACAGAGTCAGTCACAGCTGGCCAGCCCAAGTGCACGATGCAACCAGCCAACCATACCAGCTGGATCCAGCGACTCCAGCCTCTTGCTTTTGAGTAGACTCAAGAGCAGAGACAGAGTCAGTCACAGCTGGCCAGCCCAAGTGCACGATGCAACCAGCCAACCATACCAGCTGGATCCAGCGACTCCAGCCTCTTGCTTTTGAGTAGACTCAAGAGCAGAGACAGAGTCAGTCACAGCTGGCCAGCCCAAGTGCAAGATGCAACCAGCCAACCATACCAGCTGGATCCAGCGAGCAGCCTCTTGCTTTTGAGTAGACTCAAGAGCAGAGACAGAGTCAGTCACAGCTGCCCAGCCCAAGTGCACAATGCATGCTGTCAGCCATACCTGCTGAGTCCAGCGACTCCAGCCTCTTGGCAAACGACCTCTTTAGGAGCGCCTTGTCATCCCCTCCTCCTCCTCCCCCCCCTCCCAATGCTCCCCCTGCTCCCACTCCTCCACCCCCTGCCCCCCCCCTGCTCCCCCCGCCCCTCCCGCCCCACCCCCTGCTGCCACCCCTCCCGCCACCCCCCCTCCCGCCCCTCTCTTCCCCCTCCCGATCACCTCCCTCTCCCCCACGCCAGAACTGATCGCCTGGTGCTGCGGCCGCACGGCTTTAATTTCCAGCTTCCCCCCGCCCTCCACCACCCACTGCAGCTGTACAAGCACCCGCTTCTCTGCCTCTACCCTCACATCCGGTACAGTCACCCCCATTAATAACCCCTTATCCCTCGCTCTTAGCCCTGTCAGCCTCGCCGTGGGCGCCCCGATCGAGTGCAGCAGTTTCTTCACTGAAACTTCACTCGGGATGTTGTCCACCGCCGACGTCCCGTTCCAAGAAACAAACCACGAGTAATCATTCATGCTATCGATCCGCACCGCCGACCCCAACGGCTGCTCGTCCGCATCCTTCTCAGCTAAAAAGAGCTCCCGAACATCCTCCAACCCGTCATCCCACAGAATAATCTCATCCCCCACCGCCATCACCACTCTCCCATGCTTCTTCACAGTCAGCCGCGCGTAATACTGCTCCATAGCCATACCCACCGCCTTTCCCAGCAGCGCGTATTGAGCCAGCACGGGTGCGAGCACGATCGCGACATCGTACAGCGTCCGATTCGTCCCATTCCATAAACTCTCGACCTCCTCTACCATGTCCTCTAGGAGGGCTCGCAGCCGCGTGGTGCCCACGCGGTAGGTGGAGACTGGCCAGGCGGTGCCTGGGGGAGGCTCGTCTAGGTCCCGTAAGGCTTCGGCGTCTAGCTCGGCTCGCAGAGCAAAGGTGCGGAATGCAAAGAGGGGGAGCCGCCGGGGGTCGCCCTGGTGGGGCAGGGTGGGGGAAAGAGGGGGGAGGGGGGGGGGGTGGGTTTGATGGAGGAGGGAGAGGGGGATGTAGGGAGGGAGGAATGGAACTGTGAGTCAGCAGCTCTCCACCTCCTCCACCATGTCTTCTAGGAGGGCTCGCAGCCGCGTGGTGCCCACGCGTAGGTGGAGACCGGCAAGGCGGTGCCTGGGGGAGGCTCGTCCAGGTCCCTCAGGGCCTCAACATCAAGCTCGGCCCGCAGGGCGAAGGTGCGGAACGCAAAGAGGGGGAGCCGCCGGAGGTCGCCCTGGTGTTGGGGTGGAGAAGGTGGGGGAGGGATACGGGGGGGGGTGTAGGAAAGACTTGATGTGGACTCTAACCCGAAGCTCGTCCAGGGCTCTTAGGGCTTCGGTGCCGAGCTCAGCCCGCAGGGCAAAGGTGCGGAACGCAAAGAGGGGGAGCCGCCGGAGGTCGCCCTGGTGTTGGGGTGGAGAAGGTGGGGGAGGGATACGGGGGGGGGTGTAGGAAAGACTTGATGTGGACTCTAACCCGAAGTTCGTCCAGGGCTCTTAGGGCTTCGGTGCCGAGCTCAGGCCGCAGGGCAAAGGTGCGGAACGCAAAGAGGGGGAGCCGCCGGAGGTCGCCCTGGTGTTGGGGTGGAGAAGGTGGGGGAGGGATACGGGGGGGGGTGTAGGAAAGACTTGATGTGGACTCTAACCCGAAGCTCGTCCAGGGCTCTTAGGGCTTCGGTGCCGAGCTCAGCCCGCAGGGCAAAGGTGCGAAACGCAAAGAGGGGGAGCCGCCGGGGGTCTGTTGGGGGAGGGAGAGGGTGGGGAAGGGGAGGCTCGTCCAGGTCCCTTTGAGCTTCGGTGCAGAGCTCAGCCTGCAGGGCAAAGGTGCGGAATGACATTTGAGTCGACTGAAAAGTCACCTCGTTTTGAGTCGACTCAAAATTCACCAGGGCAAAGGTTCAGAATGCAAAGAGGGGGAGACGCCAGGGGTCGCTCTAGTGGGGGGGAGGGAAGAGGGATGGAGGAGGGAGGAGGGATGGAGGAGGGAGGATACGGAAGAGGGAATGGTGGGGATGGAGGAAGGAAATAAGAGGAGAGGTATGAGAGGGGATGCAAGGGAGAAAGAGGCTTGCAGCTCCCTCAGCTCAGTCACTGATGACAGCTGGGTGTTCCTCTTCTGCCGCACTACCTCACTTTGACACAGAAGCAAAGTGCACCTTGGGTGTTCTGTCGAGGCACAGCAAGGCACAACGCACGCCCAGCACCTCAGCGCTGACTCGCAGCTCCCTCAGCTCCGTGACAGACGGCAGCCGCCCCTTGGTGAGCAGTGGTGCATGCATTGGTGTTGGATGTAACAAACTGGGTAACAAGCACAAGCCTCACCTTGGGTATTCTGTCCAGGCACAGTAGAGCCGACCTAACCCCCAGCGCCTCAGCGCTGACTCGCAGCTCCCTCAGCTCCGTGATAGACGGCAGCCGCCCCTTGGTGAGTGGCCGCAGGCACGAGCGATACCGCAGGTGCAGGATGCGCACTGCTTTCTCGAGTACGTCCAGCTCTGCGCTGTCCAGTTGCGACCTCCCCCCCACTCTTCCGTTCTCTGTTTGCGTGTGGAGGGGAGGGGGCGAGTGGTGTTTGAGGGGCAAAAGTGGGTAAAGGGGCGAGAGGTCGGTCGCTGGCTCGTGCGGTACCGCAGGTGCAGGATGCTGCGCACTGCTTTCTCCAAGACGACCAAATCTGTGCTGTCTAGCTGCGACCTCCCCCCCACTCGCCCGTTCTCTGTTGTGTTGGGGAGAGGAAGGGGAGTAAAGCAGTGATCAGAGGCAGCGAGCGGTATTGCAGGTGCAGGATGCTGCGCTCTGCTTTCTCCAAAACGTCGAGTTCTGTGCTGTCTAGTTGGGATCGCCCTCCCACTCTCCCGTTCTCTGTGGGTGGGGGTGTGTTGAAGGGAAGCAAGTGCAGACAGAAGAAGGCACGAGTGGTGCGGCAGGTGCAGGATGCGCACTGCTTTCTCGAGCACGACAGCGCTGTCTAGCTGCGACCTCCGCCCTACTCGCCCGTTCTCTGCTTTCGTGGGGGAATGGGGGGGTCGGATGAGGGGGTGTAGCAATGCGCAAGGGGGAACTGTTAGCCGGTGCAGACAGCAGGCACGAGCGGTACCGCAGGTGCACGATGCGAACTGCCCTTTCTAGCACGTCCAGCTCTGCGCTGCCTAGCTGCGACCTCCCCACAGTCCGCCCGTTCTCTGTCCGTGTAGGGATGGGGATTCGGGTGAGGTGCGAAGGTGTTGATTTACAGGGTGAAAAGGAAGGCTGGAAGCAGCAGGGGCAGGCAGGTATGGAAGCGCAGGGGCAGCTGGGGCAGCTGGGGCAGCAGGGGCAGTAAGGTATGGAAGCGCAGGGGCAGCAGGGCAGGCAGGGGCAGGCACGTATGGAAGTGCAGGGGCAGGATGTGCACTGCCTTTTTCTAGCGCATCACCCCTCGTGTCGCGCACCCCCTAACCCTAATTCCACGCACCTCCTAGCCCTGACTCTGCATAACTCCTAGCCCTAATTCTGCATACCTCCTAGCCACAACTCTACATACGTCCTAACCCTAATTCCACATACTTCCTATCCCGAACTTTACATGCCTCCTATCCCTAACCCTACATGCCCTGATACCCTAACTCCACAGAACTTCGAGCCCTCATTCCACAAACCTCCTAACCCTGACTCCACATACCTCCTAACATAACTCCTAACCACACCTCCTAACATACCTCCTAACCACACCTCTTAACATACCTCCTAACCCTTACTCCACATACCTCCTTCCGGTTCTTCCACTTGGTCCGGGTCATGCAGCTGAGTGAACAGCGCATGTAGACAGCTCAGCATTCGGACACGTGGCAGACCGTCCCCTTCCCCTTTCCCTGTTTTCCCGGGGCTGTATGCTGACATGGCAGCCGTTACTGCGCCCAACGCCAGATGCGCAATCCCTAGTGGCGCTCCCAGCTGTCCCGAACGTGCTACCGTGCCTATAGGCTCGGCAAGACTCGCCCCGTTGACTCGAGGCTCGGGGAACCATGGTCTCTCCGTCTCTGTGTCGCTGCTGTCTGATTGGTCCGCGTCTCCCATTCTCGTCTGTTGCTTGTATCGGATCTCGGCACTCGGCCTCGCTGAAGCACTATTTTGCCTGCAAACGCTATTACACGCTAAATTCTGTAATAATGTCTGTTAGTTGGATAATGTAGAAGACTATCACAATAATGATAGCTTCTGATGCTTATAAATACAGCCTGCTGCTGCTGCTGCTGCTGCTTCGTTGTCGCCTGTCGCGACCCCCTGCTGTTGATAGCGATTCTACTGCGGTCTCTGCTAGATTAGGTTAAGTGAGTCAGAATGTACCGAAAGGGCTAAATGGAGTGACGTACGACGACATCGAGTGTACCCTACTAACTCCATAACGAGGACGTTTGCCGCGGGTGGGGATCAGCCTATCTGCGTAGCTCAACGAGTATCTAGGGATTCTAGCGCCAAGAGACTGTGATTATCGCGGATGTGACTGTAAAGGATGGTGGATGGTGCAGTGGTGAACGGGTGAGCTTAAAACGAGAGACGTGAGAGGCCCAACAGGCGGCGAACACGCGACGATAGGCGTCCGGTACGCAGCCGTCCATGGCGCCATCTAGGCTCACGAGCCACCGTCATGATGACATGGCATCGCCATGATGACGCGGCAGCATCGTGCAACGCCGGGTTAGCGAAGGCGGGAGGAGGAGTTAGTGGCGGGACCTATTCCAGGCGAAATAAGGAAAGTCAATGTGCAGCGGTGTCCCCGCTAAGAGCCTCCTCGTTAAAGCCTTTGTGACCAATAGATAGTGTATAAAACACAAAAGCTCCCTGTGGGACCCACGACAGGCGAACAGAAGCACGGGGAAAGGGACGGAAGACAATGTAAGGTACGACTTTTGAGCAACCTCATTGAGGCTCAATGAGCAACCCTACAAAGGCTTTGACAACATCGTAGAAAGGAAGTGAACACGAAAGAAATTGACCCGAATCGAGCATAGAGTCGCGAGAACAGGAGAGAGTAAGCATCAACGAACGACTCTGCAGCACAGCCTTCAAGCTTCAAGAAACGCGCAAAAGCAAGTGTGTCGTACCTGTAAGGTAAGGTGTCGTTACGATGTTATCACTAACGGACGCATTGAAACTGAAAGGAGCAAGACAACACGCGCACCCAGGTAATCTGTCTTCACGATATTAGGGTTAAGAAAATGACCTGGCCAATGTACGTTACGAATAGGGTAGCCGGAAAATGTGGGTGTGATCGAGGACTTGCGAATGATTAGGAGGAATCGGCGGACGAATCGTCAGTTAGGGCAACCTGAGGAGCTCTGATGAGACGAAGCAAGAGCAACCAGCTAGATTGGAGTAGGCTACTCCAACCTAGCTGGTCACTCGAGGACAGAAACGCACACTGGCCGTTCCGCCATGGCCGCCATATCGAGGGGGGAAGAAATAGGGATGACAGGGAAAGTTTATGTGGTTAACTACGGTGATGGTCTGTTCTGTGCACTTCGCCGCTGTGAGGAAATGCTGAGGGCCGCAGGGAAGAGTGTTGGGGAGATTTTGGATGGGTGGAAGGGGAGAGTTGAAAGGGGAAGTGGCGGAGTTGGCTCTTGAAATGCGGGAGAGGCGGAGGAAGCTGGGGAAAGGCTCCGCCACACGAACAGTGTGGAAGCAGCTTTGGGGGGAAGACGGCTTATCCAAATCCAATGATGCCTTGGGAATATCCAGATTCGCATTTTCCAGGGGTTTTCCCAAATTGGCCTAGTCGCGGCAATTTGCTTGTAAAGAGCTCTCATATATATGCTGCCGAACTTTGCGTTCACTTCGTGCCACTATTTTACTACCACCGTTAAACTAGCAGCTTTATGGGGTTTCCGTTCAGCGCTTGAAGTGTTTCCAATCTAAACACGGCAAAAGTGCAGACAACATACGAAAGGTTGCGGCAGAATCAATCACAATAGTAGTGGAACCAGACCTTGCCAGCCGGAAGAGGTACTTAGGTACGAGCGTCTCGCTTTACAAATGTTTTCTCCCCACCGAGAACTATTGAAGTGCCAGGGGGAAATCCTTCACGCTTTCATCACCGAGGGGGCAGGTGGTTCGGAAGTGATAGGCAAGTGGGCACAAATAGACGGAGGTTAGGCAGCCAGCTAACGCTTTGCGATTTGCGAAGACCCGAGGAACTGCTATGCGACATTCGCCAAGGCCCGTTACTCACGATACAGCAACTTTTCCGCAGAAACGGTTGGACAGGACGAACCAACAGCTCCTCGTGGACACTGCATGACAATGCTCCCTTACAAACAGATTTATCATGCGTGAATGCCTCCTCCTATATTATATAGAGGTATAAGTGCTCATTATGTATCTAAATTCTCCTCATGACATGTACTAGCCAGCACATCATAAGGTACGTCACTTCACTAACCGATTGCAGTACTTCTCTGTACCAGAGGAGTCTTTCCATAACGCCGATAAGCCGCCAGTTGAACGGAGGCTGTTGATGCCCTCAAACCTGGGAAGCCTTCGCAGGAAGGAACGTGGACAGAGCAGCCACGAATCAACGTGCTTCTGCTGTGTCACTTATACACTGCCCCAGCCACCTGGACATGGACCTGCTGCCGCCACGTGCTCATGAATTCACCCAAGCCGTCTGTTTCCCTCCAAAAGATCTGGTGATGTGGCCCGTGACAGCTCAGCGTCGCGCCAGCACCTGCTGCTGTATGTTCATCTCCATTCACACATCACCAGAGCCTCTTCTCATTGCTTGCATTCATCAGTCGTTCATTCGTCACCTGGTCAACAGATAAACTCTCTCCCCCCATTCTTGTCATTAGTTCCAGACTCTATTCACGAGTTCATCGTGATTCATCGTAAGCTTGTAGCTGTGCCTCTTTCTCCACAGTCAGATCCTCTTACGCACGTACACACTCACTCCTACACATTAGCCATGGCTGCAACCTCGCTCCAATGCAAGCTCTCGCTTGGATCTCTCGTGAAGGCTGACGTGTCGTCCCTTCGACAAGGACCTGCCGTCGTCTCGGTTCCTCAAAGAGTAAGTTACTGTATTCCCTGGAGTAGTCAGATTCTCTAGTAGAGGGTTCTCCAGTAGAAAAATTGGCGTCCACTTGGCTTTCTTGGCGTTCGTCAGCTCAATTGTGCGACCCTCGACTGTCATTGCAGAGAGTATCTGTGCGTGCGGAGCGCCTTGGAAACGACTACACCGGCTACGTCGAGAAGGACACTGCCGGCCAGGAGAACATCTATGCCGTTGAGGTGAGCATAGAAGTTGACTATAATAAGTGGACGAAAGGCAGCAAACTAGTACTTTTACGATTCCCGATGTGAGCTTATTTTAGGAGACTTGCACCATCGTTTTCCGCTGTAACAGTTGTACTTCAGGCTAATGTGAAATGTTCTCCTGCCTGCAGCCTACCATCTATGTTGGAAACTCCGGCAGCTCCGGTGTGGTCCTGAACGTTGTCGGTGCTGCTGCTGCGCTGGCCGGTGCAGTAGCCGTGCTCTTCGCTCTCGGCTCGTCGGCTCCCGCACCTCAAGAGGAGACATATTCCGGCCCTCCTCTCTCGACCTATGTTCGGAAATTTGAGGCGGAGCTTGCTCCAGCTCCCGTGCAGGCTCCCGCGGTTGTTGATGAGGTTGTCGAGGCGGCCCCTGCTGCTGAGTAAAAGTAGCTACCGGCCGACTCTAGGTGCCGTGACGCTATGAAGGTGAAGTAAACGATACGAAACAGCACGATAAAACTCACCATTCTGTAATTTTAGCGTAGGAATGCTCTCCTTGACTCCAGGGAATTCTCTTGTTTTGTCACTACCGATCCTGAATAAATGGTTGACCATTCCATATTTCATCATAAATTGGTTATAGAGGAATAAATCCAGGTTTAGGGGTGCCCACCACCCCTTTCCTCGTCTACAATCCCCTTTCCCTCCATTTTCCTCTTCCCCCCTCGTCTCCCATCGTACCGCCATCTCTCACTTCCTACTGTGACAACCCCCTTCCGTTCTCTCCCCCCTCCTGCTCCTCTCCTTCCCTCCCGCCGTGGTCCCTCCATTGTCTTCACGTTCCATTCTCCTCGAAACCTCTAAACCTTGGTCTCTCCCTCTTTTGGTTATGCTCTCTCCCCTCTGCCTCCCCCCCTCCCTCTCCCTCTTTGGACATCTCTGTCACCTGCTCTCTGCCTTAATCCCACCACTCCCTACTTTCCTCCCTCTTTCCTTTCTGGCTACCGTTGTCGGCTGTGCTCTCAAAAGTTGGTTAAACCCTGTCGTGATCACAGCTCACGGCGTTTGAATGTTCAGTACCTAGAAAGTTGAACTGGCAGTGCAACAAAGAATCTCAAAATTTTCCACACTAACAGAAGTTTAGTCAGTGTACAGCTAGCGCATGTACAATTACCTAGCCTAGTTGTATGCTATAAAAGTGACTAACTTAATCATAGATAACATATAGTCTATCTTTGGATATAGAAACGTTGCAAAGTTCGTTACAAGCTCCCATACAATCTTATAGCTCTTCTAACCTATCGCCAGGAATGACCTCATCAAACTATTTCCTCTGTTTACTCTGAAATGTCAGATCGCTGTAATATGCAAACCTAACTTTCATGATAACCCATTTTCTCAGTCATAGTTGCAGAGCAAGTTTTTGGGGACCCTGAACAATACAGACCTAGCGCAAAGCCAATACTGAGTGTCCAGAGTACAACGCGTACGGAGCTTGCAACCGACATCCCTGGGATCCGCCGCATGATCCCCCGAAATTTCGCCCGCTATCAATGCTTCCCGCCCGCGTCACGTGCAGAATCCACACTCAGCAGGAAATCCCGCTTAGTCCATTGTGTACTCTGTATCATAATTGAAAATTGAATTGATGGTAAAGTGGGAGTACACACAAATATACCTAAGTGTTGTACCCTCTAAGAGGTAACCCTATACAGTCTATACAAACATGACAAATGCAGATGTTTGACACACCCCCTAGACTGCATAGGGGAATACCCTAAACAAGCAGCTCAGGGCGGCACTACTAGTCCAACCTCTGAGACAAGGGTCTGAGAGACCAGTCAGAAGGAGTACAAACAAGGCAAGAACAAGAGCAGGGCGGCACTACTAGTCCAGCCACTAGGAGAGGACACAAGTCCAGTCTGAGTATACATATAAAGGACAGTACAAGTCAAGGTCCTAGCAAGTGAGAAGCGACAGGAACTAGACCAAGCTGTACACAGTGCCGCTGATGATCTTTAGGCGCAAGCGCCTTCGTAAAGATATCAGCTGTGTTGGCACCTGAGGCCAAGTGTACTACGCGAGCCTGACGTCGCTGCTGTAGCTCACGCAGGAGGAAGTACCGCAGCTGAATGTGCTTCGCTCTGCCCTCGAGTCGAGGCTCCTGACACAGGAGGATCATGGCCCTGTTGTCAGCGAACAGGACCGGGGCAGAGCTAGGCCGCTCACCTAAGTCAGTGAGCAAGAAGGTCAGCCAGCGGAGCTCCTGTGCCGCCATGGCACCAGCGTAGATCTCAGCCTCACAGCTGGACTGTGCAACAGACGAAGAGCGAGTAGCTCTCCACGAGACGGCACCTGAGCCAAGGCTGAAGCAGTAGCCCTGGGTAGACCTGAGTGTCTCAGCGTCGTCTGCCCACGAAGCGTCTGTGTGTCCAGTAAGGACCACTGGCCTGCGTCCTCCAAGCACTAACCCCATGCCCGATGTACTAGCAAGATAACGCAGAACCCTCTTAGCGGCAGACCAGTGCTGCGGTCGGTGTCTGCCTGTGGCCACAAAGCGCGCCAGGATGCTGAGAGGGTATGCGAGATCAGGGCGAGTGCAAGTTATCAGGTACATGAGGCAACCCACGAGCTCTGCGTAGGGGCCACTGGGCTCTACTGACTCCTCAGGAAATGGAGCGGAGAGTCTGTGGTCTACAGGCAGAGGGGTGGGCTGTGCAGAGGAGAACTGAAGGCTGAACCTCTGAAGGACCTGGCGCACCAAGTGTGACTGAGTCAGGGTGATGGTGCGCGCAGCTCTGTCCCTGGAGATCTGCAAGCCAAGGTAACGGCGCAGTTCTCCAAGGTCAGTGCAGGTGTGTCTCTTCAGCAGCTCTGCCTTCACGGAGGCCAGTGCGTCCCTGTCTGCCGTGGCAAAGACCAGGTCGTCGACGTAAACAAGGATGTAGAACGGAGTCTGGCCAGCACGAACGAAGAGTGAAGGGTCTGCGGAAGACGGAAAGAACTGCAGGTCAGCAAGGGTAGCACGGAGAGTGTCGTGCCACTCACGGGGAGCGTGGCGCAGGCCGTAGACGGGGCGACGCAGGTAGACCTGCTCGTGTAGGCTGCCCTGAAGGAAGGCAGTGGAGAAGTCGAGGGAGT